TTTGACCTGTGTCACATCCATAAGACACAGGGAAAAACAGCTCCAGCTCAGAGAAGGAGCTGGTTGCATACACTGTGCCAGGTGACATTTTGCTCTCCCAAGCTTCTGGCACTGAAAGGTATTCATATATTTACAACCTTTCTTAAGGTCATCTCTGCTGTGTCTCCAGCTGAGCCATTAAATATTAATTGGACCTGTTTTCCAAAAATAAAAAGCAGAACCTCTGATTTACTTGTGTAATTAACACCTCCCACAAACCAGGTGTCCTCCTGATCCAGGCTGAACCAGCCATTTGCACTTCACAATCCTGAAATATGCTATGTGCTTTTGAGACAGACACACAGTTGCTTGTTCATTCTGTGTGCATGAGTGCACATAATTATTTTTTGGGGAAAAAAAGGCCTTAAATACAACAGAAAATATGCCCTCCAGGTGATGTAGTTAAACCTTCCCACTCACACAGGATAGTTCTCTTCAGTTTGGATTTTGGTTGGGGTTTTTGTGTTGTTTGTTTTTTTTTTTAAGCACTTTACCTAGATGAAGTCAAACATCTAGTCACAGGCCATTTTATTCAACAAGGCTCAATGCTGCTAAATTTCTCAAAGAGCTCAAATTTTAACCCATAGTTGTAAAGAGCGTGATCACTCTCTGGTCGTATAAGAGCACTTGCATTAAAGAACTTTGGTTCCCACATGCTTAAACATATAATAAACCTAAGATTGCAATTAGCTCTGAAATTTAGGTTCAGTGCAACCATTAAGACAAGGTAGGTATGTATTCAGTAATCACTGAGCTGCACAGATTATTTGCAAAAGTTTATTAGGTGCTGATTTACCCAGATGAATGACATGCCTGCTCTTCAGTGAGGCTAAGGAATTTGTGGAGTGAAAATCCACAGAACCCGAGGTCCTCATTGCTCAGCTGCCATCTAAGCTCAGAGACACATCAGTTTTCAGTATTGCACAACCCAAGAAAACTAGTTTTGTTTTTGCACTTGGACTGAAGCACATCTATCTTGTCAGGACTTAGCAGACTGGGATCCAGCGCATACCTAAATCTTTTGGGAATCTGTAGTGTAAGCACTACTTCACCTTTATTTCCTCAGAAACTCAGTCTGACTGTCAGTCTCAGAGCTTACCTGCAATATAGGTGCTCGGCAAAAAAAAAGACATTTCTATTTCCTTTGGAAGCGATGACTCTGTGATAAATAAGCATCAGAGCACTCACCTAGGAAATGAGGCATGCAGACTCACTTCCTTCCTCTGAAAAGGCAGATTCGAAATTCCATCCTGGATCTCACCAGAAAATATCCAAATCATCAGGCTTAGACATACTTTGGTGGAGATGTGTTAAGAAAAAAAAAAAAAAAAGAAGCTGAACATCTCCTCAGTTGCATGGACTCATTAAAGGTTTGTTGTGCTGCAGAGTTTATACTCTGACTGCCATTAGGATGAGGGTGTCACCCAGGGAAGGTGCAGTTCTCCACTCCAGTCTCTGCAGCCAAAATACAAGTTTGGAGAAGGGGAGAGGATGTTTTTTGCTGATTCAGATTGCAACCATGAGCTGAAAAATCACAGCCCCAGAGCTTTTTGGGCTCTGCTGCTAGAAAATAGTGCTTCTCTCACACAGTCTTTTAACAACTCACCATCGTTTTTCCTAAGCAACCACAGGTGGGTGACAGCTCCTTCTGCTATGGAAGTCATCGTATCAGGCAGCTCCTGCTGACCCCCGTGGCATTTCCATTTCCAACTCCACAACACACCTGCCAGGTATTTGCCAGTCTCTTGTCTCCTAGCAAAAGCCACTCCAGGCCTTTGGGCAGGAAATCCAGATAAAGTTTTCTGGAGCACTACCTTCGAGTTAGCAAGAGTGTGTCAATGGCAAGATGCCATTTTGGATATCACACTTCAGCTTTGTTGGAAATCTTCTGATCCAAACTAAACTCTACTATCAGGACTGTGTATCCAAAGTTTGTTTTATCTAAAATATCAGTAAAAGGGAATCCACAACCTTGCCACCCCTGGTGAATACTCCCATCATGTAAGGTATATGTTCTCACCTCCAGTATAGCACTAAACCCTTTGATCCTTTTTGCAGCATCCCAAAAAATGGGGACAAAGTGTGGTTTCCCCCTACCTCCTCCTATCCCCAAATAACCCAGAGCATGGTGAATGAAGCACCAAGCTAACAGGAGTTTTGCCTACATCAGGAAGCTGGGGGAACGAAACTGAGACCTCTCACTGAATGCTTCCTACTTGGATAGAAAAGTAGAGCAAGCCCTTCTCTGGTGGGGAGTGGGTGGAGAGAAGAAGGGACAAGGAAAAATTTACCTGCAGAACTGGCTGTGCATACTGAGCAGAGGAAGATGCCTTCTGGTAATGCTAAGCAAGGCACTTAAACTTCATTGCAAGTCAAGATTGAGAGGACTACAACTCTCCTCACCCTTCCTCAGTTTCTGGTGCATACTGTGGACCTTAGCTTCCTAATTCTCTATGGAAATTAAATTTAAAAAGCGCTCTGGAATACCCAGCACAGGCTCAAAATCTTGTTTGTTTGGTTGTTTTTTTTCCATCTAGATCTAAGCACCTCCGGAAATGTTCACTGCTTTGTGAGGTTGAATGGTATTGTAAAGTGTGTGCATGATAACACTCTCAAATGGCATGAATAAGCTTCATTAATTAACTTAATAGCAGATGTAGCAGTTTAACTATGTCCTGCTTTATACCTTTAAAATGTGGCTTATAGTTTAATAACTTCAGAAGTTTCTTACTCTAATAGCTTTGAAGTTTATTATTTTTTTTCTCCTCTACTATTTTCTTGATACTAAGATAGGAAAAAATCAAAGTAAATACTTATTTCATTTGTATGTCTTGGAGGTGACTCAACTGTATGTAACATATTCATTTCTTAAAGTGAGCACCATTTTGTTTAGGAAACCAAAAGTAAGCTAACAATTGCAGGTATCACTAAACTCATGTTTATTCACAGATAAATGCTGTAGTCTATCAAATCTTTTTGGCACAAAACCGGCAAAAAAATAACTGAAAATTTAGCATCCCTCCCATCCCCCACAGAGATATCTGGTCCTTATGTTGCAGCTGAAACGAAAGACTGAAGCATCAGGTGGCAGAGGGGGGAGGCATGTGAAGGCAGAAAGGAAGATAGTAAAACTGGAAAGATTCCATAGACAACTTTTTTTTTTTTCTGAAATACTGTATTTACACAAAATTGGAGAGAGTACAAATACTTTACTAAGAAGACAAAACCGTTATAGTACATTCAATTTAAACACAGGCAGAGCTATAGATGCAAAACACAGAGGCCTAAGGTACTTGCATGGCAAAAAAAACCAACAAACCAACATCAGAATGGCCTCAGAGCTTAAAAGCAGGAGATAAGAGAACATTGTATTTGTTACGCAGCATCACCTTTCCTTGACTTCAATGGGACTGCAATAAGGCGCTCTCCTTCCTCATTGTGGATGGTGGGAAAAACCCTCTCGGTGTGCTGACTGCTCAGCACTGATTTTACAAAACAGTTAAGTGCGTACTTAATTTTCAGCATGGGAATAGAGCTGTTAACTTCAAAGGAAATTATATTTGTGCCTAATCGCATGCTTATATGCTTAGTTTGACCAGGAATAGCCTTCTCAATGCTTAATAGGGTGAAGTCCATTGTTACATTAAAAATAAGTATTCCTTACTGTCTTCTTTCTTTTTTTTTTTGTTAAAATATATTTTAGAATTGCTTTATTTTTTCCCTTATGTACTCGATTAGAAAATAGTAGCTTATTGAATGCCATAGAATATTTTGATTCATATCTTATATAATCAAAAGAATATTGTTCAAAAATAATTACCACATTTTTCCAAAGCCTGTTTAGATTTAAAAATAAATAAAAGAGAAAAATACATATAATAATAAAGCAGCTTTGTGTTTCTAGGCATTTGGCAGCAGGTCTGTTATAATATCTCTCAGACACCTCTTGGTATCAGTTAAAATCACCAGATTAATTGATCATTATAAAATAAAAGATTGTACAATATTATTACAAGCCACCAAATATAGCCAATGCATGAAATATTTTACACATCATATATCCCTTAAAAAGAATTAATATATTTTAGCCTATTCTTTGAAAACAGATAGCTTCTGAAGTAATATATCTTAAACACAGTGGTATCTGCCACTTCTACTGTCTAGCTGATTTTTTTTTTTTTTAATAAAAGCTTGTTTGAATAGGACTACTAGCTCAGTGATGGAACTACAGTGCTATTTATCTAAATTCCATATATGTCTTTGTTACTGTTGCTGCAATTATGGTAATCACATACCATTGAAGTGCTAAATATTAGTAACTCAGGTATGAGGACTTTGGTTACGCTTGATAGAATACTGGCATATCAAATATATGTACCACTTCCTAAAGGCTATGTTACAATCATGATGCCTAGTAATAAATAATGATAATAACAATCTCAGATTCAAAGTGCTGACCCATATCACTCACTTGAGGCACCAATACAATAAATCAATCAATTAAAAGACTTATTTGTAATGTTCAAAACTAACAGAGCAGATCCAGGGCTGCCAAGTTACATGCGCAGCATGGCGGACTCTGAACCCCTCCTTCCAACCTGGGGATTCCTGTGGTCCCAGAAGACGCTGGAATATCACATCTGATGTGTGACGCTCCAAAACATACCAAGTCTTCAGAAACGCAACATTAAAAGCTCTCTAAGCTTCTCTGAAGCCTCCAAAGGCTCTCTTAAACTCCTCAAGCCTACTGCATTCACTCAGGGACAAGGCTTTGCCATATATTGTACTTGGCTGCAGACCAGGGAAGAGCCTTTCATGAAAGTCCACAATGAAATGCATCACATTAATGCAGCTTTCACACCCTGGAGACACTGTCACCACTGTCAGCATGAGAGGGAAAAGGCAGCTTTCCAGCAGCAGCAAACACCTGTCTCACTCAAAGGGGAATGCTTTTCATGTTGTTAGTTTGTTCTGTGCAAGCAGTAATCGTTTTCAGTGTCAAGAGAGCTGTTGTACCCCGATGATGGATACAGGTCCCTCTTAAGTATCCTATTGACAATGTTGATCAGAACTTTTTTGTACTGTTGACGTAAAAGTGAGTAAACAAATGGATCTGATGCAGCCTTACTGTAGGTGAGGCACTTGCTTATAATTCCCCAGTAGTAATTTATGGTAACAAAAGGAAGGAGCTCTATCAACCTGTTAAACATTAAAGAGAGATGGAAACACTTGAGTGTTATATTCACACTGAGCCCAGTGCTGAACTCATGCTTCATGAAACATTAAAGTAACACTTATTTTCTTACAGTACACAGTCCCTGCAGGAGAAGGGCCCTGTACTTACTTACTCCTTGGATTCAATAAAGGCAGAGGGACCTTTCCTAGCAAGGCCACTGGGAGACAACAATCATTCCCTCTATGGAAAGAGAGAAGTGTGTTGTCAATGTTAATGCTCCCATACATCAGAGATAAGAAAGTGTTGCTGTTTATTGCTTACTTTCTGAATTTAGAGGGTTGTGCTGGTAAGTGGTCAAAATCTTGGTGACATAATTGACTCTGTTCCATGGCAAGCTTGAGATAGACACATGTGACTTGGGGCATCCAGGTTCACTCAACTCAGTTGCCTAAGTACAGCTGTCCAGTGACACTTGAGACATTTGGGCATAACCCCCTTGGCATCAGGCTGCTGCTCCTGCAAGTTGTGTGTCTCCTCTAGGTCCTGTGTCATATCTGTCAAACTATGTAAAGGTTTTGGATACTATGCATCATCTCAAATGACACCAGAAACCTCATCTAGATCACTGAATCCACCCCCTCAGATACAGAACAGTGAACCTGCATTACACCACTGCTGTGAATTATCACATAAGCAGAGAGGATTCATGTTTGACCATTGTAGTATGAAGAACAACACAGCAGTATCTCAGAGAGATTTGGGTGGCACCTGCAATCCCATAAAATGCTTAGGAGCACAACTGCATCTACTTACCTGTGAAAGTTTCTGTGTGCACTTGTCTAACCGTTAGTTTGGCCAAGGAAAAGAAGGAGACAACAGTTTTATCATCATTATATGACCAGCCAGCTGTCTCCAGACCTGTCTCCTGGCCTGTGCCTCATGGCTGGTTAGTGGCTTCAGCACCTCAGTTGAGATGGGTGTATTAATCATGGGTGCAGAAACTGCAACTAAATTAAACAATTTTTCCACAGAAGTAACAGCAAACCTTCAGACTATTCCAGTAAATGGCTGGCATACAGCTCATCTGCAGTGGGCAAACTCTCCAGGAAGGTGGAAAGAACAGGGTGAGAAGTTTTTATTTTCTGTACAACTTCTGTGAAACCTTTTGCAGGACCAAGAATATACTATCTTGCTATATTCATTCCAGAAGAAAACAAAAATACCATGAGATAAAATAGCCCTTTTCTGTACCCTAAAACATCACTGTTTGAAGATGTAAGATGAGAAGCTTTCTCAAGCCTTGAAGAACCTTTTGGCCTCTCTCCAAAGTGCAGAGCTCTCAGCTTGCAGGGTGTTGTCTTTTGAAGCTGTTCCGATCCCTCCGCATAGAAAAGCTGACTTACCACCACTACGACTGAACATTGCAACAAGTGGTTGAACTCTGACAGGAAAATTTCTCATTTGTATGCATAAAAGTGAAATCATTCCTATGGCAAGTGCATTTAAAAACCAGATGACTTCTGTTTGAAGCTGCTTGGAAAAAATTCCAGTGAATTCAAAACAGAGAGAACAGCAAGACATAAAATGTGAGGAATAAATAAATGCACCAGACACAAAATGTGAGAAATAAATAAATGTACAATAAATGACATTTGCTGCATGGTTGCTTAGGTTTGTCCCATTCTGTATATCATCCTAATACAAGAAGTATAAATTTGATATTTACATGATTGGTGTTTTTATACACTAAATAAGAAGAGTAAGGTATCTTTCAGTGATGAAAACAGATGTATTGCTATGTGTTTCCTTTAATGTATTATGGGCCCAAACATAATTGTGCTGAAGCCAACAGAAGAAAAATTACACAGATTGTAATAAGATAAAGGGCCTGGCCAAATCAAGTCAGCCTTAGAAATATCCATCTGAATGCATCTTAGTATCATTTTCTTGTTTTCAGTGCTTTTACAAAAAAGATTAAATTCATCTGTCGGCTCTTAGTGAACAGATGAATATATTGCTAATGATCATAATCTCATTCAGATTTCTGAAGTGAGGAGAAAATGCTGAGCTCACAACACAACCTGAGTCACCAGGCCAAAGAGCAAGAAAACAGGGGAGGAGATCTCTCACATTGCCTCCATAGAGATTGCTTCAGTGCCACCTCCCTAAAAACCAGAATGGGGGAAGAATGGAGAAATGGGCATGGCAGCAAGTCCTCTAACCTCACCTCCACCACCACCATTTATCTAGTGCTGCCTGGACACTGTCTTGCCTTTGGGGCAAAGAGCTTTTGAGGATGTCCTCCCCAAATACTTCCCATTTGTTGTCACTGAGACAACAGCTTCTGTGACTGAGACAGAAGCTGTACCTTGACACACACATTTATATAAATCAACCCTCAGTCTTCTCTCTAGTGACACATGAGATACCTGTTTGCCACACATAGAAAATGCACCATCTTACATTTGCCAAATGCAAGGTCTGAAGATGGAAGTCACTTTTATTTTAGAATTTTATGAGAAATATCTCCACCCTGAAAAACGTAGCAATGCTGGAATTTGCTGAGCTTGGTAATGCTTAGATGGAAAGAAGATGGCAAAATCCACTTTGCTCAATATAATTATATCCTGATTATGGCAAAAGTGAATAGAAAATGACTCAGAATGTACTGAACAGTGATCAATTAACCTTTTAACTCAGTGATGTAATGTTAATATTTGTAATAATCCTTTCAACTGCGGAAAAAAAATGCATTTATCCAGACAATCAGTCAGCAATCCCTTTCAACATATAAATGGGCACTGAACGAAATGTCATCCTAAAGGTTAAAAAACGTTGTCATTTTTGTGCACTGGCCTCAATCTGTCCCCCTACCTATCTAAGAAAAGGGCAATGACAATGATTGTAAGTGGCCTATATATATGTGAGTGTGTAAGATCAGTGCACTAAAGCTGGCCGATTTCTGTAAACTGGTGTGGCTGCAGATGCTGGCAGCTTGGCAGCAACCTTGAGGAAGCCCTCACCAGGGTGGTTTTGCAAAGACTAGTGCACCTTCCTTGACAGAAGTCAGTTCTCTTCAAGTATGTCTTGAACACACTGTGAAGTGGGAAATAATTTAAAAAATCACTAGTGAAAGATGTAGCCCATTTCAGTTTAGAGATGAAAGGCTAAATCCTGAGGCGCTGCGATTCAGTAGAGTTACATTGGCTTCCAGCTCACTGATTTATGCAAGATTTAAAAATAATAACCATATGTTGTATAAAGGCTATGCAAGTACAGAATGAGAATGATACATAACTACTTAAAAAGGTGCAGACCACTGGGGTGGATGCCAATGATTCCGACCAGTTGAGAGGCATGCTGTTTCCTATACATTTTAAGAGTCTAATTATTGGTTTTCCTGGGAGATAACTCTCACACCTCATCACAAGGCCGTGCTGTACCATTAGCAATATATTTACAGACATTAATGTTTCCAGACACAAAGCTTATCTGACAAATTATCAGCCTGGATAAATTTAAATTATGTCACCTCAGCTTCCAATAGCAGCAAGTTTGGCCTTATGCCTTAAAAAAAAAAAAAAAAAGACCTGAGCTAATCAGGAAAAACTGTCTGCTTTCCTCTCTATTGCTCGGGTTGTGTTAATAAGGTAGGGTGGCGAGTCTTTTAAACTGCTTTCATCTCCCAGTGGCATATAATTAATTCCTGGTACTTGTCCTAAAAGCCTCTTGCTCTTGGCAGAGGCACCCAGACCTGGCTGCAATGAGGAAAGGAGAGCCAGAGGCTGCCGAGGCTTCGCCCAGCGGCTGGGCGTGTGGGCAGGGCGGGCGTGTGTGAGAGTGTGTGTCCGTGTGTGTGTGCTCTGCCCCTCAGAACCGGCC